ATGTGGCAGGGTGAACTTTCGCCAATCTTGAGCTGAACTTTCGCCAATCTTTCGCCTTTTGCGGGGTAGAGTTTTGTGGCAAAGCCACCCCCCCAAAGCAGGAGCAGGAATAGTAGTAGTAGTAGTCGTAGTCGTAGTCGTAGTAGTAGTAGTGGTAGTGGTAGTGGTGGTAGTAGTAGTAGCAGCCGCAGCAGCAGCAGGTTATCTAACTTCCACAGCTCATCTAACTTCTGAGTCACTGCCACCAGCTGTTCAGGAAGCAAATGAACATTCATACAAAAGTACATATTTAATCTTTCGCAAGATCTTTCGCCAAAAAATACAATTACTTTCGCCAACTCGAGAAAACACTTTCGCCAAATGAGATTTTGATATGTTCCGGGTCATCGCATACACAATGCTGTCTAGGACCTTTAGATCGACAACCACTTGCACATCCTCACGGTTCACCATAAGTTCGAGACTCTCAAAAGCGCTGTACTCACATTCAGCTTGTCACTGCAGGATCTGTGCTAGACGCTGGAGTTTTCACTGACAGTATTGCGTGGGACCAAGATTGACTGGGACGGAGGAAAGGGACCTTCTGATCCAAAAGCCTGCCATGGACTCAAGAAGAAGAAAAAGAGTTCCAGGTCACCCGGGCCTTGGTATCATCGTCAATCAGGTTCGGCTTGGACCAGATCCATCCACCGGTCCCTGGAAGGTCCCTGAAGGTGGCAAGCGCTCGAATCCCTTTACCCAAAAATACTCCCTTCATCGTTCACTGGTCCAACACCCCAGACAAACTTCACCAGCCTCCAATGAAAAATAACTACTGTCAGCTGCACCTCATGCATGAACATGTAAACCGCAGGGGGTTGTGAAAAAAAAACATGTAGGGAAACTTATCTCCAAGGACTCAGGACCAATTCTGAAGGCAGTTTTGAACCAGTACACGCTCCAAACAACTTCGACCTTTCCTGGTGAAACCATCAATTTGACGGCCAACACCGCCCAAGTCAATCTCAAAACCACCTTTGCCATCCAGAAACCTCATTTCACAACGCGTGCCACATGTAGTTACATTACTAGTTACGAGTACATTATATATAAAAGACAGTACTATTTAGACATATCCCAGAAACGAATCATCTCAATCCCTTGAAACCGCCCCCGCCTCAGCAACTCCTCTGTCTCCTCATCTGGCGGTGCTTTCACCAGGCTAGCTTGTTGGCCCTTGCCTCGTGCAAGAATCCCCTTGCCTCGTGCTGGAAGCCCCTTGCCTCATGCTGAAAACACGATGGAACCCACGAAGATGAATGGACATGCGTACGCAAACAGGCCAAACGTTGTTTGGCACTCTTGCTCGACAGTCAAAGACACTCTTGAAGGACATTTTCATGTGACACTCTTCTAGGACACTTTTGTAGGACACGCTTGTGACACTTTTTGACACTCTTACTCTTACGCGACACTCTTCAAAAAGGATCAAACAGATTCAAAAAGGACTTGCAACAAACATTCGTGTGGGACACTCGCTCGTGTGCGAAAATCTTGCTGGACACCCTTGTGTGCCCCACACAATGTGGGACACTCTTGCGGGAACCTCTTCCTGGACACTCTTTTGCGCGACGCACTTGTAGAACACTTTTGCTGGACACTTTTTGGTGCGACGCCCTTGTAGGGCACTCTTGTGGGAAAGTCTTGTATGGCACTCTTGTGGGGCATTATTGTGGGATACTCTTGCGGGACACTATTGCAGGACATTTTTGTGGGACACTCTTGTTTGACACTCTTCTAGGACACTGTTGTGGGGCTCTCTTGTATGCTCTTGTGTGTCTCTGACACTCTTGTAGGGCACTTTTGTAGGAAGTGTGTGTAGGACACTCTTGTAGGGCACTCTTGTAAGACACTCTTGCTGGACACTCTTTGCGCGACACCTCAAACGAGATTTCCTCGAAGGGTCACGCGTCATGCTTTCACAGTGATCATCAAGCTGTCAAAAGAATCACTTCGTTCGAGACTTCCTCCAAGAGTGACAGGTAAAGCCGCTAAAGCCTTCAACGCAGGTGTTTCGCTATTGACTTCCTCATACTTCCTCCAAAACTGACTCAAAAACATTTAAAAACAAGCACTTCGCACCAAATTCCTCCGAAGGCTCAGCAACGCGACAAACACATCACGCAGCCCTCCCAAGCAGCTTTGCAAGCCAAGCTAGCTGCGGGCACATCACTCCCAATGCCAAGCTGCATCCCAGCACGTCCAACACGCATAAAACTACCCGCCACGAAAAGTGACTATGCCACATCCTGACTTGTCTAGCAACTTGCACAGCACGCTTGGAACGATTTCAACACAATCTTGCTTCACCCTGATCCCTCAAAATCGTAACTTGAAATCAAACATGTCACGAAATTACAGCTTTGAGGCAAACGCTTCAAGAGCAAATCCTGATGGCACAGCGACATTCATCACGTCCAGACCACCCTGCAAACGCCAATCCCAATGGCACAGCGACGAAAAGCGTTGACCTCACGAAACGCTGCACCCGCGCAAACAAATCATCCATCACACTTGGGCATGTTAGAGGTTTCGACGCAATTTCACACGAATCTGCCACTCCATTCCATGATTCCGTCCAAGACTTCCTCCAAAAGCCTTTTTCATCTTTTTTCAATGGGAGGGCCTTCTCGATCATATTCAGACGCTTGCGAACGGTTGCGAACATGAAAGCAACATCACTCGAACAATGCTCTACCCCCAGACCCCGGAGTGAAACAAGAATCCTTCGCTATGCATTCGGGAGAAAACACAAATGGGGACAATGTTGTGAATGATCCACAACATGAACCGGGGTGTACTTTCGCGGAAACCTATATAGAACGACAAGTTTGGAAAGTTTCTGCTGCTCGGCCATTTCTGATTGAGCTGCGCAACAACAACAGCAATTTGTTGAGTTCCACTTGCCGACATTTCAATCCATGTCCAAACCTTGTGACAGTGTCCCGCATTTCGCTCGCTAGAACATATCGGAATTTAACATTGCATGTTTCAGCATGGTGGGCAACGGATAGTCGAAATGTTCGACATATTCAAGGAGACGCAGAACATATTAACGCCATATTAAGGCCCTTCTTCACCATTTCTTCACCCATGTTCACATTTCTGCCATGGCACCATGTCCATGCATGGCACCGAGTCCAAATTCCACATGCTAAGGATGGGAAGTGATTGGAAGTCAGTAGCTTGGGTCCCACGAAGAGCTTACTGAGGAAACGACAATGTGGGTGGGTTAGGAACTCGTGAGGTTTTGGAAGTTTGTCATTTGCACCAAGAGTGAGCTTCCAGTGCTTGACAAATTTGGCAGACTGCCTAGGGCCTAGCCCTGAAAGACACCCATGCCTCTTAACAAGATCGTGCACTCTGTGATTTCGAGTACTTGAGACATGACATGATGTAATGACCAGGCAACTTTCAAACGGCTCATGACCCATTCCATTCCATGACACCTCTTGAGAGTTTTCTATCATTATGTTTCAGCTTGCAAGATACTGGCATTTTCTTTGGATCCAGTGGCTGCTATCGGCCATTGGAACTTTCTGCTCGAGGTCAACACCAACCTGGTTCTGCAAAGCCAACATGATCCTGGTGAAACCTGGCCAAACCAGAGTCGCTGGGTTTTTGGATGCTCACGTGGGTCATCATGGATGAGCCAGTTTGTTTGTCCCCCCACCCAGTCACAGTTTATTGTAGTGAAGGTTGATAAAGGATAGGGTTTTAAGCAAAAGCATTAGTGAAGTTGTTTCGGGATAATTTCTGGGTCGGGGCATAGCCAGCACAGCCCCATGAACAAGTCGATCCGCCCTAACCCATGGCACGATGGCTGGTACTGGTTCAGGGGAAAACTCTATTTCACACCGACTGGATGCAATTACCAGTAAATCGGGAGGGAAGCAATGGATGCTTTCTAGAACTGCAAATTGGGACTTGAGGAAATCATTTGCGACATCATTGACTGGCAAGGTACATCGCTACTAGTAACAAGGGCATCGCTACTAGTAACAAGAAAATACTACTAGCTTCTTGCTACTGGTAGTAATGCACTTGCTACTAGTAGCGATGCACTTGTTGCTACTAGCGATGCCCCTGCTACTAGTAGCTCCTGGCATTGGCGATTGGTGCAGGTCGTCCGACACAGAGGCGATGTTTTGTTTCTCAGGCGCTTCCTGTCCGCCCAGTCAGGTCACACACACAAGATTCATCGCAGTGCTCCACGTGCGCTACAGTACAAGAAGCGAACACATACCTACGCTGGTGGACATGGTTGCCTTGCCTGGAAAGGACCAAAATGGTGGCACTCCAGTTGTGCCAGTTTCTATCAAATGGAATGTTGTTCATCTATAGTTCCTTGGACACAGAATTCGAGGAAGGGAACTCTTGGACGAAACCGCTCAGCTGGAACGGTTCTGGCCTGACTTCTGATACTGATACTGCAAGTGGAGAAGAATGAGATATCTTCAATACCGATTGGCCGGAAGACGGAACAAACCAAACGAAACAAGAATGTGGCATCAGTGTCCTACAAAAGTCAACAAAAGGCTGACGAACCGCAAAGAAAGCTACGAGAAAGCTAAACATGTGACACCCATAAAAGCAACTAGCTGCTTATGACTCATCAATGACTCCTTTGCTTGCTGCAGTCATGTTCTTTGGTTTCATTGTATTGGTTATAGTCTTGACTTAGTCCCGGCCGTTATGACCGTGCTGAGCAAAACTTGACATGGATTTTACTCAGTATTTAGAAATTTAGAATTCTGGTCCAGGCAACAACTGCTTGAGCTTACACAACAAGAGCACTTGCTAAAAGATGCTAAAAGGATTCATTATTTTGTTGGCTTCAGAACTCTGGATGCAACAAGAGCACTGCCAACTTGAAACTACTTGGGCACGCCAAAAGTCAAACTAACAAGGCTCTGGGTGACTCTGGATTCTCAATTGAGGACGGCTTCGGGTTTCACCGGCCATGACCGACCCAAGGGCACCACTGCGACACCACCTTTTCAACCTGACCTGAGGAGAGGAATCAGAATCCGAAGCCCTGGCTGCCTATCTGCATGTTACTGATTACACTGATTACACCCCAGCATACAGTAATCCTTAATTTGTGGTCATGTTCGACTATCTGTTACAATCTGTTGCAAGTGGGAAGCAAACCTCCGAGCAAGCACATAAAGGACAAACGAGAAAGCCTAAGGTGAAGAACAAAGGTTGGAAGACTAAAAGAAGAAGCGAAGGTAAATTTGGCTCTTGAAGAAGCTAGGGTAAATTTGGATCTTCTTCGGTTACATGGAGAGCAAATCACAACAATGTTTCATATCTTTGTTAATCAATATATTGGCAGGTAATGGACATTGCGGAACTGTGCCTCCTGGCAAGACAAACTGTGGCAGCCCATGGTCCCCAGAAAGAATTCTTCAATCAGTCACAGTTGTCACACCCGGTCTGGAAATAACTACTTGTTACTCCCATGCTAAACAACCTCTGACTCATCAGCTCATGCAAGCACTGCGCTGTGGGACTACCTTTCTACATGACCGGGCCACCACGAAATCGTTCTCTGACCACTGCTACACTCGATCAAAGCAATCCGAGACTCCCAGGCACAGGGGCCGCACTAGTCTCGGCTTCCCACAATCTGCAATATGTACATGAAGAGGTTGATGATGTCCAGGTAAAGATTCAAGGCCGCAAAGACGTAATCATCAAGCGAAAACTCCATCTTGTGCCCGCCATAGCCTCCCATAATCATCTGGGTATCGAAAACGATGTAGAACGAAAAAAGCACAGTTCCACAAACCGCGATCACTTTCTGGACCCAGGGAAGGTCGAAGCCGATCCTCAGATTGAGACGTGTTGGAAGTTCCAGTTTTCGGTCGACCTCGTTTTCCTATGCGAAACCGCGCTCTGGGGAGGCACCCAATGTTTGTCAATCAGTAGTACTTCCGACAAGGGATGAGGATCCTGTTTGTTGCAGTAAAGAAATTCAACCATTCTTCAAACTTCCCCTCGATGGTCTTGCATCATTCACACATATTATTCACAGAAACTTTGAAACTCTATAATATGTATCTCCACAACTACCAATGAAACAAAACCCGGGGTGAAGCCAAACACATTTATTGCTTTGCAATACCACATTCAAGGAAAACACCTTGGAATCTGCCCTACCTCAGGCCTCAGGTATCCTATCTGTCTGTATGTAGTTTCAGGAAGGTGTCTTGTGTAGTGTATCCTGGGGTTTTGTTGTCCGCATCTTAGGTCACAACTTGTCAGATCCGACCATGCTGCCAGTCTGCAGTTGCATTATGGAGAGGAAGAACATCGAAAAGCACAAGACCTGTCATTGACTACGCGAGCAGAATGCCAAGGGGGGCAAAGGAATCAATCCTCTGCAGTTGGCAGTGGATGATCCAGAGGCAAAGGGCATTGAAATCGATCAGTATGTCAATCTGCTACGAGTATATCCATGTTTGACAAAACGGATTGAACCCATGATGTACAAGAATCGTGAGTTTTGACAAAGTGTACTAGGCATTGGCTGGATGTGGCATGATGTGGCGGATCTTGGTGACTAGGAAACCCTCCGTGTCAATGTCAAGTGGGTAATCATTGATGAAACCTGCAGTAGATTAAGTATATCTATATATATATATACACATGTTTTTAAATGTTGACACATGCCTGCTCTGTGATACCAAGCCGACCGGGTCATTGTGCTTGGCCGAAACGTCTCATAAACCCCATTTGTGTCCTTTATCCACCCCTATGTTGATAGCCCACCCAAACAAAATTGAACATGACTGAAAATTGACCATTTGGAGTTCTTTGTGTCGCAGTTTTGCCTTCTTGAGGACTTCTTCACCAACTCCGCCCCGTTCTGCCGGGCCAGGCGTTGCCAAACCGACCGAGCCAGTCAGGCTCACCCAACATCGTCATGGGCCGCCCGAGATGGCCCGACACCGTACGACCGTTCTCCACCAACGCAGCACGACTCCCAAAGCGGTGGGTCACACCATGAGGCCCGTGAAGAGATAGATGCTCATGTCCGTGATGTCCGTGAGATCCTTGGCGTACCAGCGGTTTGACTGTTGCTGTTGGTTGGACCGGGATGTGTGGCAAAATCGGTCGAAATGGCCTCAAAAGATCAATAGGACACTGACCGCAAACATTAGATGTTTTTATATACTTGAAATCAACGGGTCATCAGCAAGGCCGGCAGGAGACATGGCCATATTAAAAAAATGGTTGAACAGAACAGAACACAACATAAACAAACAAACCGAAGAGCTTTTCAGCAGTGTCCATCTTGCATGGTTTTGGGTTTGTAGTGTTTGATTCCACCGCGCCAGTCAGCTCAGCGGCTTTGCCACCAAAGGCCGCATAGAGCGTCAGGGAAAGGAGTGTGACCTGTGCTGCACAATTCCTCTGCGCATCGTTTCCTCCAGCCGACAGACACATATATATACACACATAAAGTAAACATATATCATGTATGTATGTATGTATGTATGTATGTCTGTCTGTCTGTCTGTCTGTCTGTCTGTCTGTCTGTCTGTCTGT